CGCAAAATGGGCTCAGAAACGGGGATTTTGGGTTAAACGCGCGCCCCGCGCAGTTTGGGCCGAGAAACGGGGATTTTGGGGTCGGCGCGTCCCGGGGCCCCGCCGGTACTTACTCCGCTCGCTCACCTTTTCCTGCCTCTTATTTTGGGGGAATTTCTAGTTTTTAGCCATTTTTTGGCGCCAATTGTCCATTTTGGGGCGAATCGAGGCGGTTTTGGCACTGTCACTGTGGGGAGGGGAGAGAGACAACACCACCCCCCCTCCCCCAACCTGCTCCTCCATCCCTCCGCCTTTGGGGGAAAATCCGGGGAAATCGGTTAAAAAGCACCTCCCCCTCCCCCAGCACCGCGGAGGCGCTGACTCGGCACTTTTTTTGGGTGGAAAAGCCCCATTTTCGGTTCAAACTCCCAGCTCGGGGTGGACCCGTCCAGCAGCGCATTCTGGGGCAATTTTAGCCCTTTTTGGGTTATTTTTGGGGGGGAAAAGCGGCCAAAACCGAAGCTCCCCCCTCCCCCCGGAACGGCTCATTTTGGGGTGAAAGCGGCACAAATACCCATTTCTGGTCCCTACTTCTCCTGCAGACCCTGTCTGGGGGCTTTTTGCCCCAATCTGGCGCTCGGAGGCTCCTCGGGCGGGGGCGGGGCCGGCGGGGGCTGCAAAAAACACCCACGAGACCCCCCCCAGCCCTGTCAGCACAGTTTTGGGGGGAAAAGCGGCCGAATCGGTGAAACCGCCCGATCGTCGCGTTTTCCCGCGGACCCACCGGGTTTGGGGGGGTTTGGGGTCGGGGGGGGCCCACATGCCACGACCGGGAGGTCCCCGCGCTCCCCCCCTCCCCCGACGCCCCAAAAGCGGCCGGAATTGCCCCAAATCCGCTGCCCCCCCCCCCCCCGCGGGTCCCGCGGGGGGCCCGGGGGGGGGGGGGGGCGTGCCCGGTACCTGCTGACGCCGATTCGGGGGGGTTTTGCCTCAAATTTGAGGCTCCCCCCCCTCGCTCGCTCCTAAACTTACTCGTTTTGGGGGCAAAAGTCTAAATTTAACCATTTCTGCGGCTGGTTTTGGAGAAAAAACCTGAAAACATCATTATTAACCCCTCCCCCCCCGCCTGCTCCAGCCCCCTCCCCCGCGGGGTTTTGGGTGAATTTGGGGGGGTTTTACGTTCTTTTTCCTAAGGGATCTCCCGGAGCCACATTCCTGAACTTCCAGCTTCGCTTTGGGCCGAAAAAGCGGCTTTTTGGTGCTGCTGCCTCCTCCCAACTGCGGCTGCGGAAAGGGCGGAAAACACCCCAAAACTGCCCCCTCCCCCCAAACCCCCCCCCAAAAACGAAATTAAAGCAACTCTTACTTCTCTGCATTCCCCAAACCTGGGGGGTCTCTCCTCAAATTCCTGAGCGTGTTTTGGGTGCAGAAGGGCCTTTTCTGGTTAAATCCTCTCCTTTTTTTTTTTCCCTTTCCTCGGCTTTTTCTCACCGTTTTTTTTCCTTTTTTTTTTTCCTGCGTTTTGCTGCTTCCCTGAGGGGGAAAAACACCGGAGACCCCCCCACGCCTCCCCCAAAAAAAACCCCCATCCTTTGTCCCCTTTGGTCCCTTTCCTGGAGCGTTGCCACCGGCCCCTCCCGCGCGACGCCTTTGGGGGAAAACCAAGAGATTTTGGACACTTACTGAGAAAACCAAGAGATTTTGGACACTTACTGAGAAAAACAAGAGATTTTGGACACTTACTGAGCGGCGCCGGCGGGAGCGGCGGAGCCGGAGGGCGCTGGAGGGATTTGGGGGGTTTTCCCCATTTCTGGGGGGTTTAATAGAAAAAGGGAGGGGGGGGAGGGGCGACGGCGGCGGCGCCTGAAACGACAAAACCCCAAAACCCCCCAAATCCCCCCAAACCCGCCAACCCCGGGAGGGGGGCGGGGCCTCACCCGGCTCCGTTTGGGGCATTTTCCTCAATTTTCTCAGCTCCGGGACCCAAAGCGGGATTTTTCTTCCTTTTTCTCTTTCTTTTTGCTTCTGATTTTCTGTATTTTCTCCTCTAATTCCTCTTTGATTTTCTCTCATTTTTCCTCTCTTCTCTTATTTTCTCTTCTACTTTTTCTCTCTTCTCATTTTTCCCTGTTTTCACTTCCATCTTCTCCAATTTCCAGCACTTGAGTTTTTCTTTATTCTATTTTTCTTTTTTTTTAAATTGTCCTTTTAATATTTTTCCAATTTTCTTTTTTGTATATTTTCCAATTTTTCTATTTTCTTTTTTTCTATTATTTTTTCTATGTTCTTCTATTTTCTATTTTTCTATTTTCTTTTTTCTAATTTCTTCTATTTTCTATTTTTTCTATTTTCTTTTTTCTAATTTCTTCTATTTTCTATTTTTTCTCTTTTCTTTTTTCTAATTTCTTCTATGTTCTATTTTTCATTTCCTTTTTTTCATTTTTTTTCTAGTTTTAATTTTCTTTTTCCAATTTTTTTCTATTTTTTCTTTTCTTAATTTTTAATTTTCTTTTTTCCATTTTTCTTCTTTTTTTTTTTTTTTTTTTGGTTCTATTTTCTGTCCTTTTTTGCTCTTTTCTCTCTTCTCTCTGCTCCTCCCCTGCCCAACCGCCGCTTTTTTACCAAAAAGTCCATTTTTTCCCCCAGCTGGGGCCGCTGCGAGGAAAAAGGTCCCTTTCCCTGCCGGCTCCATCTTCACTCTTCGGTTTTCCTGCTTCTCCCCCAAACTGGCTCCTCTCTGTTCATCCTGAGCCTGAAAATGCCGCGTTTCACCCCAAACCGGCCGCCCCCTGCGCTGCCCGGCCCCGACGGGGCAAAACCCCTTGGGGAAGCTTTAGGAGCTTGTTAAAAATTAAAATTTAAATTAATCCAAATTTAGGAGCTGGTCTTTTAGCAGAAATCAGCGTAACGAGCGCTTTTTCTCTGTATTTTAAATTAAAGCAGCTTAAAAAGCTCATTTTCGGTTAAACTGCCCCAGCTCGCTCCGGCTTTGAGAAAACATCCATTAGGATATTTTCAGGATTAAATAAAACAGCTGCAAGAGCCGCGGTTTTGCCCAGAAACCGGCCTTGAAGGCAGCGATTTCTCTAAAACCAGCTTTAAGAGCTTCGGTTTAAATAAAAACCAGCTTTAGGAGCCGATTTTTTTGTTAAATCAGGAGGTTTTCCATGAATCGTTCCCAGTAAAGCGCCCCGGCTCTTCCCATCGCTGGGATCGCCGCCACTGCAGCACAAAAGCGAAAGAAAACAGCTTTAAGAGCCGACTTTTCTTTCAAGGAAACAGCTTTTGTCCCTTTTTCTCCTTTAAATAACGCAGAATTAGGAGCTGCTTTTATAAAATAAAGCGGCTTTAGGAGCTTTCTCCTCAAACCAGCCCAGCTTTAAGAGCTTTTTATCGGCAGTAAAGCCGTTTGCGGAGCTTTCTGTAGAAAATAAAGCCATTTTAGGAGCTTTTTGTTGTATAAAATCGAGCGGCTCCGAGCACTCCGGGCTCTGGCCGAGCGCTTTTGGGCCGAATTCGGGCGCTTTCGGGGCTGTTTCCCGGCCGGGCGCTCCCACCGCGGGGCCCTCCCTTATAAACGGGCCCCGGCCCCGCCCCCGGGGGGGGCAAAATAGTCCCTAAAATCGCCAAAAAAGGGCCTCGGACCCCAAAATCTCCCCCCCTCCCCCCTTGAAAAAACCTGCTTTCTCATTATTTGCCGGTTTTTCCCCTTTTCTTGGATTTTTCCCCCTCACAAACCGCCCCCTCCCCTCCCGGGCCCTGCGGGTTCCGGCACGAAACCGGTTAAATTTAACTGATTTAACTGCGGTTTTTCGCTCGATTTGGCCCATTCTGCCCCAAAACCCCCACCCCCCGCTGCCACCTTCCCGGCCGTTGGATTTTAGAGCTTTTTTTTTGTTATTTGTCCCTTCATTTGGCCGCCGTTTTGGCTTTTGCTGCGTCACGGGGTTGGGCCGCTGCCAAAAGGGCTCTTTTTGTGCCCCAAAAAGATCCCAAATCTCCGGGGGAAAAAAAAAAATTCTCGAGGGGACAGAGACCCCAAAACCCCCTTTTTTCACGTCTTTTTTGCATCCCAACAAAGCCCAAACGACCTTTTTTTTTTTTTTTTAACGTTTTTGCCCCCTCCTGCAGCACAGCCCAAACCACCATTTTTGTTTCTTCTCTCCCACTGAAATGCACCAAAATCGAGGCCTTTCAGCCCATTTTGGGCCCCGCTGAGTCACGGGACTCCTTCTTTTCGACCAGGTGAATAAAACTCCACTATTTTAAGGCATTTTGAGGAGTTTTTGAGGCATTTTGTTGGATTTGGAAGCCTTCTTTTCCAGCATTCGGGGGCGTTTCCAGGCAGGAAATGACACCCCAGAATTGCCCTCAGGGAGGGGACCCCCGTGCCCCCCAAACCTGTAATTAATGCTAATTAACGCTGCTCTGGGGCTAATTAAAGCTGCTGACGAAGCCAAGGAGGCATTTTAGGGGTTGGGGGGAGAAGGGTGTTCCAACATTTCCGGGGCGTTTCCTGCAGGAGAAAATGTTACCTCATTGCTGTTAATTATTATCATTATCATTATTATTTCCCTGCGTTATTCTGCCATTAAACCCCCTCGGATTGATCATCCCCCTCCCATTTCAGGCCTCCCCCCCTCTCAAAACCCCTGAATTTTGGGGAGCTTTCCCTCAGTGGTGATTTTTGCAGCAATAATTTGCCCATTTATGGTTATTTCAGCCTCATCCCCCCTCCCCTGCAGCTTTGTTTTATTTTAGCACCTCTGACATGCCCACAATTCACGGGCTTTTGCACGGAAATGCTCCAAAAAGCTGCTTTTTCACAGGAGCTGGGCCTGGAGGGGCCATTGTCGGGCGTTTTCCTCTGCAAAGGTGTTTTTCACTGGTTTTCACCAAAACCTGGGCGTTTATTATGGAAAAGTACAGTAAAAAGCCAGGAGAGGTTTTTTTAAGTGGGACAGCACTAAAAATACCCCGAATGACCCCAAAAAGAGCCTCAACAGCACTTTTAGGCGAATTTCAGCCATTTTTGGGGGACAAGGCATAGATTTTGCCCTCAAAATTCACCACTAAGCCCAAAACCTGCAGTTTTCCAGCAGATTTTTTAACCCAAAGTGTCCTGGGGCCCCTCTGCCTCCCTGAGCCCCCTTTCAGCGGGTTTTTGAGGTCAAATCCCTCCAACTCCCCACCCTAAAAACAGCATTTCCTTGAGGCTTTTCACCTTTTTGAAAACCGACCCTTTTCAGCGGTTTTTCATACAAAAATTACCTCAGGAAAGGGGGGGGGGGGGGGGGTGGGACTTTATCCCCCCCCCCAAGCTGGGGCCCCTCAAACCGCTGCTAAAGCGGCCCGAAACCCCCCTCCCCCCATCGTTCCCCGCCCCCACCGCCTCGCCTTCCCCTCCCCCACCCCCATTTACAGGCAAAAAAAAAGGAATTCGGGGGCGGGAGCGGCCGCGGAAGGATCCGCCCGGAGCGGAGAGAGCTGCGTGATGCAGAACCGGGAGCGGAGGGATCTGGGGGTGAAGCGCCCCTTGGCCACGTGACCGGCGGAGGGATCCGCGCGCGGAGGGATCGGGGATGCGGTTTGGCCCCGCCCCCCGCTCTGCCGCAGTCGCCGCGGGGGCGGCGCCGGGGGGGGGGGCGCGGAGCCATCGCTCCGTCCCGCAGCGGGGGGGGCGGCGCCGAGTCACCCCCGGCGGGTCCCCAGAGACCGAACGGTTAAAAAAACCAGCACTTTTCTCCTTGATTTTTAACTCAGAAATGTCCGAGTAACCTCAGAAAATGTCCGATTCGCCTCAGAAATGTCATACGTGCCTCAGAAATGTCTCATATTACTTCACGTCTCTTTTCCCTCAGAAATGCCCGATTCGTCTCAAAAATGCTTGGTTTGCCTCAGAAAAGTGTTCGGTTTCCCTCACAAAAGCCTTAATTTCTCAGCTCAGAAACGCCTCATTTCGCTCAGAAAACGCCCTTTTATTCAGCGATGACTCGCTCTCCTCCCCCCCCAAAATGGCGCCGGGCGGGGTCGCGTCCTTCCCGATTCCCCTCAGGAAACCGTTTCTCAAAATATTTATTCAAAAATATTTCTTTGTACCATCAAATATTTATATTTCCACTCCTTTTGGTTTTTTTTTTTTTGGTTTGTTTCGTTTGTAAACGCAGGATTTCAGAGCAATTTCCCCCGCGTCCTTTAAACCCCAGTAACGCCACAGCACAAAACTCTCCCGAACCACCGGTTCTGCCTTTAAAAAGCCTTAAATTTCCAAAAAATGACTTAAAAAAAAAAGTTATTTGGGGTCGAGGCAGTTTTGCTGCAGAGTGCGGGCGCGTGGGGGTTATGGATAAAAACCAGTGATAAATGGGTTAAACTCAGCCCCAGCTGGCAGAGAAAAGGGTGAAAATGGGGTTAAAGAGTGAAAAAGGAGGATTTGGGGCCTCTGGACAGTGAGTGATGCCCCAAAATGTGCAGGATTTGCCTCAAAATCATTTTCCCCCAAGGGCTCGTTAGTAGTAACGAGGGGACCCCCCCCCCCCAAAGCTCAGGGATCCCCTGACACGTGTGACATGTGTGTGCCATGTGTGTGACAGGTGTGTGCCATGTGTGTGCCATGTGTGTGACATGGTGACATGTGTGTGACGAGTGTGTGACGTGTGTCACACGCGTGTCCGTGTGTCCCCGGCCCTGAAATGGCCGCAGTCACGTGGGGCGGCCATTTGGCTGCGTCAGCCCCAAACCCCCCGGAATTGGCCCCAAACTGTCCGTGGTGTGTCCCAAACCCCCGGATTCGGCCCCAAAGTGCTGTGGTGTGTCCCGAGCCCCCTGGAATTGGCCCCAAATCCCCCGGAATCGGCCCCAGACCCCCCAGAATCGGCTCAAGAATGCCCTGAATTAGCTAAATCTGCTCCAAATGTCCCAAACTTGCCACGAACTGGCCCCAAACACCCCGAATTAGTTCCAAACCCCTGTGAAAGAGCCCTGACCTGCCCCGAATCACCCTGAATTAGGCCCAAATCTGCCCCAAACTGCTCTGAATTGACCCCAGACTGTGGCTGGGGGGTGGGTTGGTGCAGTTTATTGTGGGGGGTGGGTACAAAGTGGGGGGGCTCAGGGGACTCCC